GGCTAGCTGCCGACGCCGCCGCGGTGCAGGGAGTAAGTTCTTATCTTAACAAAATCGGCAGAGAAAATTGAAATTATTGCAACAAAACGTAAAAGTTACATAGGATAACTACGAGTGCGAGTGAGATGGCTATACAACGTTTTGTTTCTCTTTTAAGAGATCAACGTAGTCCCATGACTATACAATATATATATAGGAGTATATATATATAGTATATATATATAGGACTATACTATATAGGAGTATACAAGATTTAATCTTTGAAGAATTTAACTTGGTATATTTTTCCCAGGCAACAGGCACTAGGATCGGGGCACTAATGCAGGCATCAGCAACGATTATAATCGGCATCATCTTATCGTTGTACTACACATGGCAGATGACGCTAGTGTCTTTAGTGTCTGTGCCGATGGTCATCGTGGCTGTCGTGCTCGAGGGACGTGTCTTAGCCGAGGGCATTGCGACATCCAGAGAAGCTTCGAACAAAGCCAATACGATAGCCACTGAAGCCATCTCCAATATACGGACGATATCTGCGTTTTGTAAGTGATAATTCCATTCGTAATAATGCTTAACACTTTCAGTGCCACAATGGTTTATACGTAAAAAAGTCGGTGGTACATAATGAGTCAGAGAATTTAGATCAAAGCTACCGTATCTAAGGGAAGCGCTTTTTAAATAAATTTGATATAAATAACATGATTCCAACAAAGATACATAATCAATATAGTTATAGAGACAGTTGTCAAGTTTAGTGCCACCTCTTGTTCTTGTTTTGACATGTAATAAAACATTTGACATAATTATAATCATACTGGTTAATAGTATGATTGCGAAAGTTTGCTAGAGTTTGTAGCCCAAACGCCTGAACGAATTTCAATGAAATTTGGTATAGATGTAGAGGATAATCTGAAATAATTCATGGGCTACTCGCTTTTGTTTTTTAATCTGTATGTATTTGTATTGCAATCAATATTGGTGTTGTTTTAATTCAATTTTAAAGACTATATTTTCAATATATTTATAATAAGTTGATAACAGTCGTGTGTTAATTCCACTGGTTGTTACCCAGGTGGCGAGGAGGGTGTGATTACGCGCTACAAGGAGGCAGGGCTGGTGGCGTCGGGCCGCGAGCGGCGCAGCATGCGGTGGCGCGGCGCCGTCTTCTCGTTCGGGCAGACGGCGCCGGTGGCGGGCTACGCGCTCTCGCTGTGGTACGGCGGCGTGCTCGTCGCCAACAAGGAGGTCCACTACAAATCTGTTATCAAGTTAGTATCACCACTGTATAGCTACTGCTTAACGGGACAAAACTATAATGTATGATTCAAAATACGAAAATCAACGATCCAAAAGTGTATATATTTATTTAATTAAAATAAGTTAAAAAGGGATAAAAACGACGATAAATCAACACATAAATTGGCACCGTTGTATGGAAATGGTACGACCTGCAAATTAATAAATACTAGATTTAACAGTGGTAGAGCCCGCTTTAACATCTTCGCTCGAATGGGTCGGCTCGTCCGGTGCAATACCACGATCATACAGAAGACAGGCGTGAAGTGGCACCAATTCCGCGTTTCGTCTGATGAGTGTGGTGCCGGAGGCCCAAGTTTAGTGCATTTTCCTTCCCACCCTTTTTCTCATAAGAATAGGATGGAAAGGGAACGTGGATTTGATGATGGAGGAGACACATAGGAAGAGGAAATATCTTCTTTATGTGCGTCTCCTCCTCCGTCGATTAAGGGTAGGCAACGCATTCGCTATTGCGGATGTCTATGAGCAGCGGTCGCTTCGCCATTTTGGCGTTTTAGGTGGCCGCTTGCTCGTTTGCCACCTTATAATATAAAAAAAAGCTTTCGGCAGCGACTCCGTTCGCGTGAAATTAAAAAAAAGAACAAAAGTGACTTGCCTATGTGTTCTTTCATAGTCTGGAATCCAGATTATCCTCTACTTTCCAAATTTCATTACGATCTATTTAACAGTTTAGACTACAAACTCTAAGAAATATCTCTACCCATTCATCTAAACTTTCGCATTTATAATATTAGTGCAACTATAGATATACAAGCTGTTACTCGCGACATCGTCTGCGTGACATTAACAATATGTAAAAACATAAATGTTAGTCAATATTAACATTACTTTTTAATAGAGGAAGAATTTTGAAATTGGTCCAGTAGTTTTTTTTTGTAAGTTCAATACGTGCAAAAATTCAAAAGTACTAGTCTTTACTCTTCATAATATTAGTATAGATATCTCTATGAATAACATTTAATAGCGAAAGATTACAGTTTGAAAGTCGAATTTAAGTTGAATGAATATCGAAATCCTGTAGTCGTATTATTAACCTATATACAATGATAGCTTTACTTTAATCTCTCCAAATATATTATAATATTTTCAGAGTATCGGAAGCTTTAATATTTGGAGCATGGATGATGGGTCAAGCGCTCGCGTTCGCGCCAAACTTCGGCGCGGCCATGTTGGCGGCGGGGCGCGTCATGACGCTACTGGCGCGGCAGTCGCGCGTCTGCAGCCCCACTCTCGCCACCGTGCCTG